ACTTATTCTATTTTGACTGTATACAGGTAGTGTCATCAGAGTCAGATGTACATGTATTATGATTGCATGTTAACAGGTTAAATTTAATAAATAATTAAACAGAAATGTTATTGTGAAGTTTGTTGTTAATTGTATGTGTCATGAACCACAAATTTAGACTATATCAAATTAATGCTTAAACTGTTATCTTTAATTTTGAATTGTAGCTATCTTGAAATATCACAAAGTGAGGTCGAAGGTTACCTAATTTGGCACATGAGAATTATCTCTATCTAGTAAACAATTCACACAAACCTAGTCAGTCAGCCTGATTAGTCTTGTTTCTGTGGGTTCACTGGAAAACAAACAATATCTGGACACTCAGTTAAACTTTAGGGAGAGATTTCCACATTACTGAATTGTATAACCGTGGTATGTGATTGTCAAAATCCTATTCCATATCCAGATATTGTATGATTTGGAATCTGTCTCAGATATAATGACAAAATGTTGTTAAGAATCTTTCTATCTGAATAACAGTTGACAAAGACAATAGAAATCTCCAAATTCGCATAGTATTAATTAGCATTCCATGAAATGCTACATGTTATAAGTTGAGTTGTGATCGTCAAAAGTTTTGTTTCATCTATCTAGGAATATGATAAATTATCCAGAAATTAAGTTTATATGGGTTTTGTAGTGCATACCATGACAGGGTTGTTTTGTGTGTCTGAACTGTCAAATAGTTAAACAGATACAATAATTAACTGCATGTAAGTATGTAGAAGTACATGCAAAATACTAAGTAGTTTCACCAATGAATCATCATCATTTTATTTATTTTAGACAAGGTATGGATCTGTATTAATTCATTCTGTGACTATATATAGGTTATCTCCTATTATGTATTACATTACATGAACATGTACGGTATTGATATTTCAAGCACAGTTTGTTTAGATCGAAATTAGAGATTTTTACAAAATAATAAAATTTCTGTGTATGATGACTTTAACACAGGTATGTTTACAAATCACTATCAAACATATTAGTAACCATGGTGATGGAAACAGATGTTATAAGCATTCAGAAATTAATGGATTTTCTTGTCAGTTGACATCACATGTTCTGTGTATGTATATAGGATCTACTGCTACCAATGGCTGTGCAAGCTGTTTCAGTTGAAGTTGGATAACATTGACAACACCAAATGAGAATTTTCTTCCTCAAATAAAGCTGTGTCTGTGGCTCGCCAGTTGTCTGTCAAGTGAAAATATGGAACATTATATATAATTAATGGCAGGTAAAATAATGCTTATGAAATGTGAATTAATAAGTTGTGTGAGTTGAATTAATTCTTGATTACGTGTGAATATTAATAGTGTATATATTTATTATAACCTGATGTAGCATATACACTCTGACATGTTCATAATTTGATTAACCAATGTTACTTGTAAAATTATCACCTAAGGAAACTTAAACACACTCTTGTTGCAGGTGATCTTCATATAGCAAATTCTAACTAGAAGTATTTCTAGAGACATATGTAACTAAGTTTGTCATTTATTGCATGACTATTGTACTATAACAGATTTGATTGTGTTTTCATCTCAGCATGTATACTGCTATATTGTAGGCTATTTGATGTAGGACATTATACCTTATTTATCCTGTAATAAGCCCAGGCCAAATACATTACTTCTGACTGGAAGTCAGTGGTGGGCTCAACCTAGTATTTTAGTACATGTACAGTGAATATATAGTTCTACTGAACAGTAATAAACAGGGATGGGCTTATTACCAGATATGGGTTTGTTATGGGATAAAATATGCAGATTTTCAGCATGATTTTTCCATCAACATACCCTTTGTTTGAAGACCAAAGTTGGTAAAAGAACAAAACAAAATCTGTAAAAGTACTTCCATGTTTAATGTTTCAGCATAAATTTTCATGACATGTAGTACATATTGCAATTAAAACTGGAATTGTCTCTCCTCATGAAATAAATAAGTCATGAAAATAGATGTCCTGCAAATGATAGCATACAGTTTACTGGAATAAGTCTTGAAACCCATGTACTTTACATTGTTGATTGTCTTCCTTAAATATTTCAGCATATAAATAAATGTAAATGCATTTACCACTTTTGTTAAGTTCTAATACTATGTGAATAAAAATTTTAGCAAAAAGATTACAATAAATCTACATTTAAACACCTAATTTTTTAGTCTAGTGAGTGATCAGTGGTGTGCATGATGTAACATTCGCTGTCTTTCTTGGGTGTTTAAAAGTCAATCATCTAAGACATCATTTTAGACATGTGGTTTATGTCTAATTCATTCAGAAAAATATTGGAGTGTGGATATGTGGAGTGTAAATGTATGGTTACAGTAGCAAGGACTATCGGATCATCTAATACTTATTGTGTATCAGGCATCTTACTGCGATCTATATGAAAGTCTGATTTTCCTTAGATTTACATTGACAGATTTCCTTTTTTTCTGCAATGCAGAGTTATCTGCCCTTTTGAGCAGGCATTGACTGTCATTTGTTTAAGAGAGTATTGTCCTATAGAAATCATGTAATTTTCTCATGCAAGTTAATGATGTAACAATCAATATCTGTTCACAAGAGAAGATAACTCTGATTTATAAAATAAACAGAATGTTCAGATAAGTTTCCAAGATTTGATTCACACTTAACTTATTCAGGGATGATTACTGTATCTAACACACCAATAGTGCTTCTGCTTCTATTGATACAAGGCTTTACGGCATGTAAATAAGCTTAGTAGGAGTTTTTGCAATTTTAAAAGAGTTCCCTTCTTTGAATCTTGTGCGCTTTATTTAACAATTACTTAATATATCGCAAGATTTTGGTTGCAAATGACAACTATAACACTAACACTATGCCTGGCAGATTTACCAAACCATACACAGTGGAATATGTGTGAAAGAGTTCAGATACTTCAGCTTCTATAGGTATATTCTCATCAAAAATTTTCCGAGTTCAGTAAGACAGTAAAGTTGAAATGAATATTTGTGAAATTTTTTTTTTTTTCTCAATACTTCATGAATAAGGAACTTCTGTTTTAAATTCCTATTCAAACCAACTTTTCCTGCAGAAGTCGGAGATACATATGCACAAAATATGATAATGATGAGATAGCAGAACAGTAAAAACCAGTAGTTTGATAGTTTTTGCCATGTTTGATTGTTTTCAGAATTGCCCTAGAGACAGTGCTAAAATTACCGCCAATCAAAAAAGAGTTTATAATCACCATAACTACTATTGATAAGACCAGCTGTTCACTATTTCATGTGAGAGTATATTTACTTTTCAGTTGTATGGTTTAGGGACACATTTTTATGATATTTGAACAGCTGTTCAGTCAAACATTTGACAATTACCTGATGTCAGAGGTATAATTATTCGTTGAGCTGATAATTGGTAAAAAACATTTACGCCTTTATCTAGTATCTCATTATGATTAAAAACCTTTGCTACTTTTTACAATGGATTCTTTTGTATATTTAAATGACAATCATGTCATGTTTTTTAAAAAGTTAAATTTTTTTGGTTATTGTTTTTAGTTATAGATAAACGATGATTACAACTCCTTTGCAAACCATTAGAAGGTCTTTGTCTCCATTCCTTCGCCAATATTAAGATGTAAGTTTTCAGTCAATCTGGTAGGAAGTCATTTTCTACTCTGATGCTTGGCTGTACAATAACTCCTTTGCAAACCATTAGAAGGTCTTTGTCTCCATTCCTTCGCCAATATTAAGATGTAAGTTTTCAGTCAATCTGGTAGGAAGTCATTTTCTACTCTGATGCTTGGCTGTACAATAACTCCTTTGCAAACCATTAGAAGGTCTTTGTCTCCATTCCTTCGCCAATATTAAGATGTAAGTTTTCAGTCAATCTGGTAGGAAGTCATTTTCTACTCTGATGCTTGGCTGTACAATAACTCCTTTGCAAACCATTAGAAGGTCTTTGTCTCCATTCCTTCGCCAGTATTAAGATGTAAGTTTTCAGTCAATCTGGTAGGAAGTCATTTTCTACTCTGATGCTTGGCTGTACTCATCCTTTTAGAATTAAACCTGTATATCTTAATTGATATTGGTAATTTCAAAACTCTGACAAGTCAGGTATAATTCACAAAATGTTCCATTGTGAGACTCTGATTTTTCAAAATGTACAAATTCTCCTCATCTATATTCCAAAAACCTTGAGGTATTATGATAGTACAACAATGTCACACTGGAGTATTTTCCCTGTGTGTAGAAGCTGAAGTGATATAAAAGAGTGTTTTATGGTTTACTTCATGTGGCAAAATTTTCTGTTTCGATTTTAAAAGCTTTTTACCAGGGAATGTATGTGTCCCATATCTATTTTTCTAATATTTAGTAACTAATAAACACAATGTACAATGTACCATCATTATGAAACTGACCATCAAAGTCTGAAATTGGTATGGTAAGTATGTGGAAGAGTTCTTTGCTAAATTTCTTTTGCTTCTATTTTCTACTTCTTTTGATTTAATTGGTTTTTAAATTTTATATCTACAAGTTACTTTTGTTTTATAATAATATAAATGAAAGAAAATTTGATCAGAATACTTGTTATGATAATTTGGAGTATGGTAGATGCACATCAGGAGAAAATGTTTGAATGTTAGGTTTTAATTCCACGGAAGATTCTCTTATAAAATAAAACTTCTTTAGTTCATTTCCTTTGGATATTTACCTGAAACATGTAAGGACCAAATCTCCCTAAAATGTTCACAAAACTATAAGATATAAATGAAATTGATCAAACAATAAAATTCCTCTTTGAAATAAATGACTCAGTGTATATATGATATAAATGTAATTTTAATGACCTACCATAAGTAAAAGTGTTTAGAAATATTTATATACAACAAAAGATTCTTCGCCCTACTAGTGCAGGGAAGTCGCTGTAAGGGGTCAGAAGGTCAATGTCAGTGAACTGACAAGGTCTCTATGTGTTTCAGATTCATGAGAATGTGGCTGGTGATGTAGAGTTACAGCAATTTAACACATCTCCATCACATTTACCACTGCCCTCAAATAGCCCAAATGATTCTGTGACCTTGAGATTAGGACTCCCTGATTCTGATTTCTCTGGGGTAGCCAGAAACACAGCCACACACAGGAAGACAGGTGAGAATCCTATTTTAACTCTGGTGTGCTCTAGCCATATGGGTCCGAACTGCTGACATCTGAGGCAACTTGTACTAATAGGTGAAAATCATAGTACAGATATGTGTTTTGTGTATTGATTATTTTGAAATAAGCCCAAAGTTGGTGTGAGTATAAATTTTAACTTTCAAATTAAGTATTATTTATTTCTATATAAACTGAAAATCAAAGCTAGAAAGTGATACCTTTGTAAATTTATCTCTATTCTTCAAAGAAAGAGAAGGAAGAGAAAAGACAGGTATTGTATTTTACTTAACCTGTGATAGGATGTCTTTTAAAGGACAATGTTGGTTACTCTATTGAATAAGAACAGATATCAGTAGATTTATTACCAGACATGGGCTTATTTCTGGGTCAATATGATAAAAGGTCTCCCATCCAGACATTGGCTTATTTCTGGGTCAATATGATAAAAGGTCTCCCATCCAGACATTGGCTTATTTCTGGGTCAATATGATAAAAGGTCTCCCATCCAGACATGGGCTTATTTCTGGGTCAATATGATAAAAGGTCTCCTTTCCAGACAGGGACTTATTTCTGGATCAAAATGATAAGGGGTCTCCCATCCAGACATGGGCTTATTACTGGGTCAATAACATAAAGGGTCTCCTTTAAACAAGGAATCATGGTGAAATGTGAAAGTCTTTGACACTTACTAGGAGAAAGTTGAGATGTTGTTAGATTGTTAGATTTCAGACAAACGTCTTGGTCTGTGAAAGCCTACAATGATATGTTAAATACCAAAAAATGATGGAAGGTGTTTCAAGGACAAAATGATATTGCATGGCAGTTTATTACTGGATAAAGTGAACCAGAGTACACACCCATAGGTAAAACATCTCCAAAACATCTCTAAACCCTCCCACATTTAGATTTCTGACTGTTTGGGAATAAACTTTTCATACGATGTTTACATGAAGTTTGATATTACTATCATCATGACTGTTTTGAACATTACAACATATAAATCTTAAGTGAAACCTTTTAAGTTTATATCCATGTGTTTCATTACTTATCAAAATAATTGATATATCAAAAATATCAACTTCATCAAAGTGATCTGGACTTAAAATGAAAGTGCTATTTCTCATAAATAATGTAACACTGTAGCAGAGAGGTTAAAGAGAGGTCAGGTAATTTGATAAGGACCCTTTAATTTGTTGTAGATAATTTATTGTAGATATTAATAAATGCCTTTAGGCTCTATATGTAGTGGTTATTTTTAGTAGTTCTGTGGTCTAAGTTACTGTAAAATTATCTACTTTTGTGAGACTCAATTTTCGTAGGTTTTCATGGAGAATTACAGCTCAGTAAGTCTATTTATGCTGATTTCAAGAGTTCAAGGACAGATAAAATTGTGGATTAAGAGTACCCAAGAAATCAGTGAAAATGAAACCCCTACAAAAGTTAATGGTTTCACCGTACCATTTTTATCATTGAAGAAGGGTCAACACATAAACTTAGACCGAATGAGGCATGCTTATTACAGGACAATGCTTGATGGCATACTAGTGAAACTACAGTAGGTGAGAGTGGGCATATTACCAGACATAGGCTTATTGTCAGGTAAAATCTAGTTTGAATATTTTTAAATTTTATCTTCAGCTCTCTTCAGTCGTATATGTTTATTCTACAAAATGGGTCTGACAAACTGACAAAATTCTGTCTGAGAGTGAGAGAGTGGGCTGATAGCATGATAATGAGAACAGTAATAGATACAGGCAGGCTTATTATGAGGCATGGCCTTATTGCTTCCTAAATACCATTAGAGATTAGGAATATAAAGTTCATGTATAAGGCCTTTCTTTACTTATAAACACCTTGCATTGTTTCACACATCCATTCTTAGTTATGTTTCTCAGGTAACACAAATTCAGCAAAATTGCTATGGGAAACCCTACCCAGTTCAACTGACCCAACATCAGTTCAACCGACCCAACATCAGTTCAACCCAACATCAGTTCAACCAACCCAACATCAGTTCAACTGACCCAATATCAGTTCAACCAACCCAACATCAGTTCAACCGACCCAACATCAGTTCAACCGCCCCAACATCAGTCCAACCGCCCCAACATCAGTCCAACCGCCCCAACATCAGTTCAACTGACCCAATATCAGTTCAACCAACCCAACATCAGTTCAACCGACCCAACATCAGTTCAACCGCCCCAACATCAGTCCAACCGCCCCAACATCAGTCCAACTGACCCAACATCAGTTCAACCCAACATCAGTCCAACCGCCCCAACATCAGTCCAACCGCCCCAACATCAGTTCAACTGACCCAACATCAGTTCAACCAACCCAACATCAGTCCAACCGCCCCAACATCAGTCCAACCGCCCCAACATCAGTTCAACCCAACATCAGTCCAACCGCCCCAACATCAGTTCAACCCAACATCAGTCCAACCGCCCCAACATCAGTTCAACTGACCCAACATCAGTCCAACCGCCCCAACATCAGTTCAACTGACCCAATATCAGTTCAACCAACCCAACATCAGTTCAACCGACCCAACATCAGTCCAACCGCCCCAACATCAGTCCAACCGCCCCAACATCAGTCCAACCGCCCCAACATCAGTTCAACCGACCCAACATCAGTTCAACCCAACATCAGTCCAACCGCCCCAACATCAGTCCAACCGCCCCAACATCAGTTCAACCGACCCAACATCAGTTCAACCCAACATCAGTTCAACTGACCCAACATCAGTTCAACTGACCCAACATCAGTTCAACCCAACATCAGTCCAACCGCCCCAACATCAGTTCAACTGACCCAATATCAGTCCAACCGCCCCAACATCAGTTCAACCAACCCAACATCAGTTCAACCAACCCAACATCAGTTCAACCCAACATCAGTTCAACCCAACATCAGTTCAACCCAACATCAGTTCAACTGACCCAACATTAGTCCAACCAACCCAACATCAGTTCAAACAACCCAACACCGACCCAATATCTAAACCATATGTTCCTTCTGTGCAGGTGCATTTCCTGCTTTGAATTGTGATTAAGATGCTACAGTACCTATGTCATAAAGAACCTGGGAGAAGTACTGTAACTGGTTCTCTAATATTTGTTGTGGGTCAGCAGAATTGATTTCTTGTAAAGGAGTTCAGTATTTTATCATGTATTGACTGTGTCATAATTTGCTGCTCTGTGCATTTTGTGATAATGCTTTTCATTTCAGAATCCCTCGAGGTTTTCTTTGATGCTGAGAGTGAAAATGACTTTGTGTGTAAGTAACCTCAGTCAGACATTTTCAGTCAATCTTATGTATTGATGCGGCATCTGCCGTCTCTCTGTCCGGCGGCAACTTTTCTATTTAATCAACTTCTTCATATTAACCAAAAGGTCTATAATCATGATATTTTGTAACATTCCTTGCAGGAAAAATTTATGAAAAGTGATTACTTTGATCTACATTCTGAGTCACAGAGGACAAATTTCTTAAAATATATAAAACAATTTCTGCTGATTAAGCAAAATGTCTAGAATTATGATAAGTGCTTGGTAGGTTCCTCTGGCAAAGCCAGGCAATATTTTGGAAAAGAAATGACCTTGACTCTAAGGTCACATGAGCCAATTTCATTAAAACTTGTAAATGACTTCTTCTCTTTATAACTAAGAAATTGAATATCAATTATGTGAAATTTTAATAATGTATTTGTGAACAGCATTAATTACCATCTGAGATGACGGAGTGATGTAGACCTATTGATCATCTTGTCTGTCCGAGATTTAAAGTTTGAAACAGATATCTGGATAAAGACGAGCCAAATTAAATAGGCACTTGTGAAATTATTAAATTCCTTATAATATCACCCTCATGTAATTCCTCAATTTCTCAGGATGGGTACGTAATTATCTAATTCTATGAATAATAGAACAACAAATTTGAAAATGTCAGACTTCAATCATGATATAAGACTTTCTTTTTTGAATTCTGATCTTATTTAAGTAAAAGTGATCTGAATTGAATAAGATGGTTAAAAAATAATGGAGTTACCTCCCTTCTTTAGTGTGATATATTGTATGTTAAGCTAGCCATCTTAGATTTCGACAATGATTTTCAAAATTTTTTCTTGGTATCTAACACTGATGGTTGTATGTTTCAGCCTCAATAGATACCTCTCACCACCCTGACATACGATTCCAGTCACAGGAGACTGGTGAATGTGAGTCAAGTGTTTGCTTGTCAGAGAAATCAGAAGAGTCCAGCGAGTGTGAATCTTTATTGCATCATCAACTTTTGCAGCCTGATCTTGAGTTGTCTCCTCCTCAGGATTTCCCTTCCAGGGAAGGACTGTGTCAAAGGTCAGATAGTGAGGTTTCCTTGGTGTCGTCTCGTCGTCGATCACCTAGTGAATATTCGTGGGACTCCCTTCAACAAAGGATAAACAGTGAACTATTGTCATCTATACAACGTCATTCAGCTACTGATGCATTGTCCATTGAGAGTTCTTTAAGTTCTGTATCCCAGTCAGCATCGCAGCGTGAGGATTCTGTAATTTCTGTGTCAGGGTCGTCGCTACGACCTCCATCGGTGGTTAGCTTTGCTATAAGTCATCAAGAAGAACTCTTTAAAGCCATCAGAGCCAGAAGGATGGAAACAGAAGTGACTGTATCTGTTGATAATCTTGTTATCAAGGAGAAGACAATGAATGGAGACTCAAATGGAACAAAGGAGAGTTCTGAATCGAATCCTCTATCAGACAGTGGTTTGGAGAGTGGGGCTGGGTCAGTATTACCTATGGAAACACCATCTACAGGAACACCAGTATGTGTTACCACAGCTGCCACCAACACACCACCCCTACCTCCTCCTCCCCCTCCCCCTCCATTACCAGCTTTAGCTCCACCCCCACTTAACCATGGTCACCTCAATGGGATCCTTCAGCAGTTTGAAAGGTAAGGCCTCAGTTACCTCCCCTGACTTTAAAAGTACATGTTTATAGTAAAATCATATAAGGTTATTCATTTGTATTTTAGGTGATTACTTTCTTATTTTTAATACAATGTATTTTTTGCCTGTCATTCTAATGTTAATCTGAAAACACTCTACTTCATCTGCATGCTTTATATAAAACTTTTTCAATAATAAAAACTATGATAATATAACAGGGAGCCTATGTATTCATCCTTAACTTGATCAGAATATTAAAGAGACATGAGAATTCAAAACTTCTAATCTGAACTTGGCATTCTTCTTATAATACCACAGAAATTGACAAAAATATAAAAAGAATTCATATGATTCAAAAATATGAAAAATAAATAAATCACTGAGAAGTAATGTTATGTTCCATTGTTTCTTTACAGTGTGTGGTACTGTGGTAATACAGACACTGTTATACTCGTGCCTCTGTATATATGGAACATATATATCTTACATGTAGCTCTAACATCATTCCGCAGTGTGTGATAATACAGACACTGTTATATACGTGCCTCTGTATATATGGAACATATATATCTTACATGTAGCTCTAACATCATTCCACAGTGTGTACTGTTATACACGTGCCTCTGTATATATGGAACATATATATCTTACATGTAGCTCTAACATCATTCCACAGTGTGTAGTACTGTGGTATACACTGTTATACACGTGCCTCTGTATATATGGAACATATATATCTTACATGTAGCTCTAACATCATTCCACAGTGTGTGGTACTGTATATATGGAACATATATATACAGACACTGTTATACACGTGCCTCTGTATATATGAACATATATATATGGAACATATATATCTGTTATATTGCTGTATATATGTACAGTAGCTCTAACATCAGTGTGTGGTAATACAGACACTGTTATACACGTGCCTCTGTATATATGGAACATATATATCTTGCATGTAGTTCTAACATCATTCCGCAGTGTGTGGTAATACAGACACTGTTATATACGTGCCTCTGTATATTTGGAACATATATCTTACATGTAGCTCTAACATCATTCCACAGTGTGTGGTACTGTGGTAATACAGACACTGTTATACACGTGCCTCTGTATATATGGAACATATATATCTTGCATGTAGTTCTAACATCATTCTGCAGTGTGTGGTAATACAGACACTGTTATCCACGTGCCTCTGTATATATGGAACATATATATCTTACATGTAGCTCTAACATCATACCGCAGTGTGTGGTAATACAGACACTGTTATACACGTGCCTCTGTATATATGGAACATATATATCTTACATGTAGCTCTAACATCATTCCACAGTGTGTGGTAATACAGACACTGTTATACACGTGCCTCTGTATATATGGAACATATATATCTTACATGTAGCTCTAACATCATTCCGCAGTGTGTGGTACTGTGGTAATACAGACACTGTTATACACGTGCCTCTGTATATATGGAACATATATATCTTACATGTAGCTCTAACATCATTCCACTATCTGTCCAGGCTTGTATTGTCCATGCTATTGCCAGTACTTACAGCATTGATTTACATATATCTGCTTTATATAAGATGCTATTGTCTTATCTAGGACTAAAATACTTTAATTACATAATCAGCTTGTTACCCAATGAATTTGGTAAAGTTTTTATGTATATGTCACTTATGTTATATACCCTAAAGTGATTTCCATTGAATGCACCAATCAGAAATTAATTGTGATATCGTAGTATGAACAATGGCACAATAGGTGCTGCTTCTTTTCCATCTTGTCCTCCACTTCATTAACCTAAAACCATTGAAAATGTCAATTTTCTGAGTTATGTGATAAAAAGTATCGTTATATTTTCTTTCCATGTGAGATTTCCTGAAACTCTCTAGTTGTGCCCTGATGATTTTGTGACTGATCAAAAATTAAAAAGAAAAATTATTTTTGAAAAAAGGCCCAAAAGTGACTTTGCTGGATATGGCAGAATCTTACTGCTTTTCTTTTGAGGAATTTTTAAAATTTAGTTTAATTAGAAGGAAATACAGAGGAAAGAAGAAAAAAGTAGAGAAAAATTCATCTTATAAAGATAAAACTATGGTGGGTGACAAGACCCTTGGAGATCTCTTGTGGATGATTCTGTCAGTATATCTGTAATCAGGATGACCATGACTTGCAATTTGATATCAACAGGATATAGTTTAGAAAATATGACCTTAGAAAAAGGCTGGTGGTGATATATATAGAGGAGTGTTGGTTTTAGTTTATATAATTACCTATGTCTTATAACTCAGAATTCAATAATACCTGGTATAGATACTCCAGTCAGAATGTCTTATAACTCAGAATTCAATAATATATATACTCCAGTCAGAATGTCTTATAACTCAGAATTCAATAATATATATACTCCAGTCAGAATGCCTTATAACTCAGAATTCAGCAATATATATACTCCAGTCAGAATGTTTGATAACCCAGAATTCAATCATATATATACTCCAGTCAGAATGTCTTATAACTCAGAATTCAATAATATATATACTCCAGTCAGAATGTCTCATAACTCAGAATTCAATAATATATATACTCCAGTCAGAATGTCTCATAACTCAGAATTCAATAATATATATACTCCAGTCAGAATGTCTCATAACTCAGAATTCAATAATATATATACTCCAGTCAGAATGTCTTATAACTCAGAATTCAATAATATATATACTCCAGTCAGAATGTCTTATAACTCAGAATTCAATAATATATATACTCCAGTCAGAATGTCTTATAACTCAGAATTCAATAATATATATACTCCAGTCAGAATGTCTTATAACTCAGAATTCAATAATACCCGGTATAGATAATCCAGTCAGAATGTCTTATAACTCAGAATTCAATAATACCCGGTATATATACTCCAGTCAGAATGTCTTATAACTCAGAATTCAATATATATATATACTCAGAATTCAATAATATATATACTCCAGTCAGAATGTATTATAACTCAGAATTCAATAATATATATACTCCAGTCAGAATGTCTTATAACTCAGAATTCAATAATATATATACTCCAGTCAGAATGTCTTATAACTCAGAATTCAATATATATACTCCAGTCAGAATGTCTTATAACTCAGAATTCAATATATATACTCCAGTCAGAATGTCTTATAACTCAGAATTCAATAATATATATACTCCAGTCAGAATGTCTTATAACTCAGAATTCAATAATATATATACTCCAGTCAGAATGCCTTATAACTCAGAATTCAATAATATATATACTCCAGTCAGAATGTCTTATAACTCAGAATTCAATAATATATATACTCCAGTCAGAATGTCTTATAACTCAGAATTCAATAATATATATACTCCAGTCAGAATGTCTTATAACTCAGAATTCAATAATATATATACTCCAGTCAGAATGTCTTATAACTCAGAATTCAGCAATATATATACTCCAGTCAGAATGTTTGATAACCCAGAATTCAATCATATATATACTTAAGTCTGAATATCTGATAACTCTGAATTCAATCATCTATATACTTCAGTCAGAATGTTTGATAACCCAGAATTCAATAATATATTATCAATATAAGTGGTAAGTACAAGCATATGGTGGTATGAAACAAGATGGCTTTATTCAAGTTAATTAATATTAACAACACTTATTTATTAAACTTCTTGTTTACTAGAAGCTGGATAAACAGTTAAATTTATTATCTTAATTTGTAATAATTTTCAAATTTGTCCATGCATTTTTTTCTATGTTTTTTTTTTTTATATTGCTTCATTTCACACAGCAGTACAGTTAATCAACAGTTTTAAGTCATTAAGTGCTAATTGAACAATGTGAAGATTTTTTCATATTTTTTTTAACAATTCATTTCCCATCCCTACCTGAAAAAAAACATGTACCATGATTTTTTTTGTCTAAAATTATCATGTGAGTTATTACGAGAATATTTTTGTTTGTTTTTCATAAAAAGAATTAAGATGAAGATATAAGTGGATAATTTTAACATATTTTCTGCAATAAATCAACATTGTTGTAAGATTTGGCATACAACCTTATATTACGTACCTGTGGAAATGTGTATTATATACGCCTTCATGCACAAAACCGTTGTAATTTACCTGTAACTTCATTGACCACCATTCCATCACTGTCAGTGATTGGACGTGTTTTATGGATTGGCCCGCGATGAGTGTGAACACCGTGTTGGGACAATGGTTATTTACCGCATACATCGCAATACTAGAGCTATTTTTGTCACGCAGTGTCGGTATATACTGATGTTTTTATTTGTGTAAGATAATTACCAATAATATATATGAATGCATTTGATATGGAATAATGCTACATCGTGTGTAAGTCTACACTCACAGTATAGGTACATCTCTAAAGGATACTACTATCAGTGTAAACAGTACTTTTATTTCAATGGTGAAATTTGGAAAAGTGGAAATGATACGATATGATAGCATGGACAGGTAAGCTAAGGGGAGTTGATCTGAAATTATATTCTAACTATTGTCATTTTGATATATGCTTTTAGATGCTTATAAATGGGATAAATGTTGGAATTTTAAAAAACTTGTAAAGTTGTAAATTCTAGATATGTTTTGCATGTTTTCTTTTGATCTCAACATGAACTACTGAATAGTATATAATTACAGGTTTTGCCACAACTAAGGATAATAAAACATACAATTTTAGAAAGATATGATATGTTTAGTTATGTACAATTATCTCCTAGCATTACCTGAATTCTGTATTATCAGATTATAGCCTGTAACTTTCTAATAATAATTCATAGTGAAGTAAGTTGATGTTTGAAATGTTTGGGAAAAAAACAACAAAAAAACAGCACATTGCACTGATGTTTTGTGGAATTCTTATGAAGTGATTTCTCATGACTTATCCTTAATTAATGGGTTCAGTTTATATAATGGGTAGATATAAGCTGGTAGCACATTTACACATTGGATTAATTCTGCAATTTTTTCTGAATGATAGAACTGCTCCATGTCTGTGGAGAGGCTGAATGGGGATAAGACAATAGCAATAGATTAAAGCCTGTTAAATAAGTAGGGCTGGTCAGTCACACGTATCTAAGTGTTGAGTTCTGTCCATTTGAGATATAATCCCTGTAAGTAAGAATTGTCTGTGATGTACTCTTATGTATCAGTAATTTTAAGGTAAAAAGAGGGAAAACAACAAGTAAATACCAACATGTCAACATAATCATAATCCAAACTCAAATTTGATAAAACTAGGACAAAATATTAGCAAATGAAAGATTTACAAAAAAATGTGGAAAATTTGCCTTTAACTCTACCTAATATACAAATACCTATCTTTGAAGGTCACAGTCACTAGTTCAGTCTCATTGTGATACAAATCATAGAAATGGAACCCTTATATAAAGACCTGACCTCCCTAATGAGTCCACTGTTCTACCTTGGGTAGTCTTGATTGACAAACTATATACTTTGCATATTGGTAAAGTTGAAAATTACCTCTCCATCAAACACAATTTTGTAGTTGTGCACTGGAATCTCAAATTTTATGAGAATATTTTTCATATGTTTAATAAAAATCTTTTGTTTCACTCTAAATTTCTAGAAATTTAAATTTCAAAACCACAAAATTGAATTCTTTTATCTATATTACTTTTCCAGACCAAATAGTCTGTCAATGGAAAAGTCTGCAGAGTCCTCAAACGTGTCTAGTCCACCCAGCTCAGTGAGCAGTCCCATGATTTCTGAACCAGTCAAGCATGACCTCATAGCTGAGCTCAAGATAGCTGCAGCCAGTGGGAACTCTAACCTACGGAAAACCCGTAAACCCAGAGAGGAAGGTCACATGACCTGTATATATTCATTCGGATCAACGGAAAAAGTGAACAGTCAAATTTCCAATGGACCAAAAGCTCACAGTCAGTCAAATGACATATCAAGAGGTCAGGTGACCAGAAATGGACAACAAGAGACTAACAAAGTGACCAATGTGTCATTGCCAAATGGTCAAGCTGAATCTAAGGTATATACTATCTTTCCCAGTTGTAGGCCGTATTTTGTCGACTCAATCTGACTTCTGAATGACTTGTTTAGAACACCATTAGAATAAATAAAACCCTGAACAAGTAACTATATATATATATATATGTATAGTGATAAAAAGAAACAAGGTCAAATTGACTACTGTTCCACCATAGTGATAGGGGACATGTGTTGGCCATGTCAGTCCATCCATCTTCATCTTCCTGAATCACATTACTATTGTTGTTGTTATGGTTACCTGGTATACCAGTGTAAGTTAATGTTCTGTATACCAGTCTGTATGAAACATGCCTAGATCAATGTTAAAATGATCTACACCAATCCTCATTAGCTATGATCCTCAGTGGTGGTGGTACTTCATAGCTAAGATCCTAGGTAGCTATTATCCTCAATGGTTATGATCCTCAGTGGCTATAATCCTCAGTGGTTATGATGCTCAGTGGCTATTATCCTCAGTAGTATGATGCTCAGTGGCTACGATGCTCAGTGACTAAAATCTTCAGTAGCACGATGCTCAGTGGCTATGATGCTCAGTGGCTATAATCCTCAGAAGTATGATCCTCAGTAGCTTTGAACTTCAGAGGCTATGATGCTCAGTGGCTATCTTCCTCAGTGGCTGTAATACTCAGTAGTATGATGCTCAGTGGCTATGATCCTCAGTGGCTATGATCTCCAGTGGCTATCCTCCTCAATGGCTGTAATACTCAGTAGTTTGATGCTCAGTGGCTATGATCTCCAGTGGCTATGATCCTCAGTGGCTGTAATACTCAGTAGTATGATGCTCAGTGGCTATGATCCTCAGTGGCTATGATCCTTAGTGGCTATGATTTTCAGTGGCTATCCTCCTCAGTGGCTGTAGTACTCAGTAGTATGATGCTCAGTGGCTATGATCCTCAGTGGCTGTAGTACTCAGTAGTATGATGCTCAGTGGCTATGATCCTCAGTGGCTGTAGTACTCAGTAGTATGATGCTCAGTGGCTATGATCTTCAGTTACTATGATCCTCAGTGGCTATAATCCTCAATGGCCATGATCCACAGTGGCTATGATGCTCATGATCAGTTACTATGATCTTCAGTAGCTATGAACTTCAATAGCTATGATTGTCAGTAGTATGATCCTCAGTGGCTATGATCCTCAGTGGCTAAGATCCTCAGTGGTTATGATGGCTGAGATCCTCAGTGGCTATGATTCTAAGAAGTATGATGCTCAGTGGCTTTTATCCTCAGTGGCTATGATCCTCCAACATGGATGGAATGTAAAGTGGCTGTGACATCTCTTCTGCTTAAACTTGGTTTACCTTGATGTGCTTGGAGATAGTTGGGATTCTCTATGTATTTGAAATATTTTTAAACTGAGAAAAGAAGTAAAAAATTCTAAAATATCTTACAAATATTAAAATAAACTTTTTAATATAGATAACATAGTTAAAATCTTGAATTAATTATCTAATATTTATCATACATAGCTAAACCTTTATTTCTATTTTACTTTCAATTTTAGATTTTGCATTAACTTCTCTTGTTTTAATCTTACACAGAAGCCAGAGTCCAACCCTGATAAATCCATGGTGATAATTGAAGCAACAACATCAAAAACTACCCCTCCCCCTCAAACTCCATCAAAAGGAAATACTCCTTCAAAGACATCAAATGGAGTCAGTAATTCAAACACATCAAATGGTACTACAAATCAGGAAGCAAATAAAGTGGTGGATACCTCAATCGGGACAGACCCATTCGATCCCAAGAACTTTCTGGACAAAGTGGACCAGACAGTCCCAGACTGGAGGAAACACATGCTGGCCAGAAAGATGGCTGAAGCTGCCAAAAAGCAAGCAGAGGAGCAGAAGAAGGTGAGTATTTTTAATAGACTTTCTGTCGTTTAGAACAAATTTAATAGATATTGTTGAGACCCTTCGGATTATACGAAACTTCATATTGACCAAAATCTTAAAGTATTTAAAAACGTGCTATCAAAGCAAAAACTACTGAATGGTAAAGACAATGGCCTGTTTGGAATATCAAAAAATATGTCAAATGTAAGAGGAACATCTATTGAAACACTAACACGTTAACTGACTATTCAGAAATGTTCGTTTTGTTCACATACGATATTTTGACAAAGAAACAAGGCAAACAAGCTAGCATTAACATATCAGTATATGGTGTATCTATTGAGACTTATGACAACTGGTGAATGTTTATTGCCTGATTGGTGTATTGATCAGTTATTTGATATAATAAGTATGGAATATCTTGACCTGATTATCTTATCAAATGTGTAGTGAAACACTGTTACATATTGACAATAGACATACAAACATTCTGTGCTCTATATATGGATTGTTTGTAATAGAGTTTGGGCTTCAGACTGTGTCTGCTGGTGTGAAGAGAATGAGACAGCAAAATGTTAAAGAAATCACACTGAATTGTGCTAATAATCCTATCAATAGTTAACTTAAGGCAAACATAGGATCTCAAAATGCATTTGTACAATTCTAATAAGTTGTAAGTGAAGCAAGAATAGAAAGGATTAAAAGTCTCGATAGAAAGAAAATAATTTTTTGTTAATGAAAAAATCATGTGTTCAAACTAGGGATTTTGATTGGGTAGAAATTACTATTCAAATATTATTCTGATTCAGTGTTCGAATATTCATTTTCATGTCAATTCATGTCAATTTAATATGGTTTTCAACCTTAAATCCACCCTCTGACTTTGAATAAGAAGAAATATGTCTGCCTTGATCTGGGCTCACTGCATAAGAACATTGTAACATATCTCTGACCTGTATGTCTCTCCCCATCTCAGGAAATTCACTGTCTTAGCCCGCAGGCTGATTCTAATTGTGTTTTCATTTGTCAAATAGAACATTCTAATGCAGCTCTTTAAGAAGACAAATAAAACATTTTCATACTGGTCATTATAAGAAAATGTTCATTTGATGAGCTGTAAAGACTGGGCCTATAAAACTTTGGTTCCTTGTGTCATATTTTCTTGGATTTTACTTCCAATCTGAGGCGAAATTGATACACAAGATATAGCTAGGTTAGGAATCTGATACATAATGAAAAAAAATCAATGGCAGATATACACAGGTATTGTAAGTTCATCATGATTCAATAACACCGTCTAAAGTACAATAACACTGATATATACCTGTGCTGATCAATTCACTGTATGTCTTACAGATTGAAGAGGAGGAAAATAAGTACAAGCACCTGCCAGCATGGAAGCGTCAGTTAATGGAGAAGAGGGAGGCTGAAGCAAAGTGAGTGCTGAAACATTTCTTCTGGGGATAAAAACAGATTCCATATTCTAGTTAGATACAGTCTCCTGATCCTATTTCAAAATCCACTGATGATGTTAAATAGAAATATCACTTTCTGTGTTTTTCCTTTTGCTGTCGAAACAATTAAAAATTGTTAAATTCCAGAAAGGATACATGGTATTACACATCAATCCTCTCACAATTTTATGCTCCCCAAAATTTTTTCAAGGGAGCATATAGTCCACACTTTGTCCATCTGTTCGCACTTTTGTGTCTGGGGCATAACTTTGCCAACAGTTAAGCAAAGGTCATTGGAAATTGGCATAAACATTGTTCATAAAAAAGGCAATGTAGCAGTGTACCAAATAAAGGGCCTGCGACCCCCTCATTTACAGAGTTATGACTGTTTGTTAAAATTTGGTATCCTGAGCACAATTTCAAATTGCTTGCATTTAAACTATGCTAAGAAACTTTGTGTATGCACTTATCATACAAACACAATATGCAGTGTACAAAATTAGGGGCCTGTGACCCCTGAAATACAAAGTTATAGCCCTTTGTTTGAATTTGGTGACTGGAGCATAACTTTGCCCAGTTAAGCAAGGATCATGAAACTTGTATATACATTCTTCATACTAAGACGGTGTGCAGTGTACCAAAGTCAAGGCCTGCAACCCCTAAATTACAGAGTTATTGCCCTTTATTAGCCTTTTTGTGTCTAGAACATAACTTTGCTTTCATAAAACTTTGATGGTGAAACTTGGTGTATACATTGGTCATACTAAGAGGTGGTACAAAACCAGTACTTGAAACCCCATTTTACAGAATTATTGCCCTTTGTTAAAATTTTATGTCCATTAAAGTTGTTTTCCGGAAGCATTCAGCAGATCCACTGATATTCTTGTTCCTAGGTTGATTATCTGCTTATTAGCATATAGTTTTCTAGTAACAGATTTTGACAAAGAGGTTCAGTTGGCCTTAATCCTTTATGAAGCCTTTCTGTATATATGTTGTTGGTTTTATTGATGTTGCTGTTGTTGTTATCATTTTAGTTATGTTAACAGTGAAACCTGTTTCTCATTGCACTGTTTTTACATATCAGGGCTGAAGAGGCTAGGAAGCAAGAGCAACAGGCAGGCCAGGCCAAGAACCCAACAAAGTTGGTCATCAACACTCATCCAGTTGGTAACCTGGCGCCATGGCAACTGGAAATGAAGACAAGAAAAATGTAACAAATCTGTTTTATCCAGAAGCAGCAGACATAATGGTTAATATAAGGAAAGTTGAGCTTGTTTTTCAGTACAAAAGTGACTCTGTTACCCCAACTGTATTCAAAGTATTGAATCTGGAAGAATAATCCAGATGATGATCATCCAAGCTTCCATATAACTTTGTTCTTTAGACAGTTATTGAAATCAGAAGTAGCATTCTTCTTGTGATGAAAGTGTACCTGTTCGGATTGATGTCTCACCAGTCACAGGTGTGAGATACTTATAACAGGTGTGATATATAGATACCTGTAACAGGTGTGAGATACCTGTAACAGGTGTGATATATAGATATCTGTAACAGGTGTGATATACAGATACCTGTAACAGGTGTGATATATAGATACCTGTAACAGGTGTGATATATAGATACCTGTAACAGGTGTGATATATAGATACCTGTAACAGGTGTGAGATACATGTAACAGGTGTGATATATAGATTACATATCACATTTTCGTTTCATTTTAACCACTGGGGATGTCATGTTGCTCAAGTTCATTATGACTGCTGTGATGTATTAATTTTACTGCAATATGAATGTGATTGGTGATGTGAAATATGCTCAAAATACTCAACAATAAAGCACACAATAGCCCTTTAATGATAATGAACAGATTGAGAAGGTGACCAAAAGTCTTTATTACAAGATTTTAAGGTACAAGTATCTAATAGAGGTAATGGTAGTTTTCAGATCAGCAACTAGTGAACTGTGAAAATATGTATTCCTTAAAACAAGTCAAACTTACTGAGAATGTTTGTGGTGAAAATTTAACTTAAGATGATTAGTTATGGCTACCTAAGGTTGTTCAACATTCCCTACCAGTGGCAGTTTGTGTTTCTCAGCAAATGAGAAATAGGCCAGACTGTGTTTTCGTGGTTGTGACCTTAAGCAAGAAAATTTACCTGAATTGCTCTGAACTGCATGTGACGGGCCTCCTGTATGTTGTTCAGTCAGGTAGCCACCTGTTCTACAAGAAGACCCTGCCACAAGATAACTCTTGCTATTGACGGAATAATAAACCCAGCACACGAGAAAACAAACCTGAATTGGAGCTTACATTTAAAGGGCCCAACATGTTAAAACTTCTGACTTGTAAAGATGTTCATGTTTATAAAAAATTTACTTGTGATATTAAAATCATTTTTCATTTGAAAAAAAAGTTTGATTTAGGGAGATCATTTGTAGTGTGAGGATAGTGATATATCTGACAATGAATAAACTTTGTTTAAACTGATGTGATCAGACTTGATGGAAACTGAATATTGTAGATAAAAGGATATCTTTTGTACATGTATCATAACCTACAATAATATTCTTACTTACTTTTTGGTAACAAATGCCCAAAACTAGAGCAAATATTTAAGTGTCCAACAAAAGTCTGCCTATTACCATTGGTTTACTTATACTGTATTTCCAACTTGTTTGTATTGAAATATTGTTCACCAAATTCTTTGTACTCATTTGTATAGTAATTAGTGTCTAAAAAACTTTCAAAAATGATAATCTCTTACAAAAGTTAAGTATCTTGTCTGAGACTTTAATAATCATACTGGACAAGAGTTCAAATTAGGAAAACTTAAAATCACCAATTTGAAAGTCTTTTATGATTGCTGGTTGTCAAATTTAAATTAAAGTAGAAGCTTATTCTTATCACAAGAACACATACTGTTTAACCAACTAGGTTTAAGAATAAAAACACATCATTCCAGTGTAAGTCATAGTTTTTTGAAAATCTCATATTTGGGACCAAAGCTTTATACTTGAGATTGTCTAAACTTAAATGGAGACTTGATGGGTATGCTAATAAACAATGCTCTAACAGATGTCTTCATTGAGAGCTGTATATAATTTAGATCCTTTGGTTTTCAATCCCTATTCATCAGGGATACCCTTGGTGTCTTAGTATAGTTTTGCATACTAGAATGCTTTGATTTTTCTATGCAATGTAAGATAAATTTTTCATTAATTTATTAATTATATGAAACCTGTTGCAAGTTTTTAGAAATATATCAGATTTTTATTTTGGACAATCATTTTCTGTTGTGTAAAACTTTCCCTGTCAGTGATTAGTACTGAACACTTGGGATTATTGACAGGTTTTACTAATGATATGTATACAGTATCAGTACAGCTTGGATTGAGCGATGACCTTTAACTGAATCAAATTTAATAATAAATAATGAATACAGATCTTTTATGTAAAATTATCTACTGTAAAATGTGGGGCTCAATGTTGTTTTTTTTTTTAAATATTGATATCTTTGACACTTGATTTCTTGGCTATGTAGCTCATTAAATCTGCTTATACTAATTTTAACAGATAGTGAATATATGATTTCATTGATTAAAATACCCATTAAAAGAACAAAAATAATCCCCACAAAAATTAATAATTTTACAGCATATAAGTGCTATACGTTTGATATTGGTACCATAACATAAAACAGCAAGTTTTACATGGTGTAAAAACACATACAACCTGTCTCATGAGGTCAGTCTCAATACAAATACCTCTTTAGGTCAATTAATCCCTGAATATTAATGACCGATGTTAACGGTCAATTTCATAAAATGTCTTCCAAGTGTTTGACACGGACTCGTGTGACATGTTAGGACTTTTATAGACATTTTTATCACCAGTATCCTGATATATGAAGTATTTGTTTTCATGCCGCCTAAAACTTTTGAGCCATATTGCTTGAACTAGATGATTAATAAGATATTAACGGGATTTCGTGACATTCCTCTGTAGTAGGATTCTGGATCCTCCATTCAACATAGATAGAGATAAAATGAGATGTGCATGAGGCAAGACAATATGAAGCTGTGGCACACTTTCTGATCATGGGATGGATGTCTTGTTATGTAGCATAGCGAAGATCACCTTGTATTAAAGATACTGTAAAGCATGTTTGTTTTTGTGTTTTTTTTTTTTGTGCGTGTGTCTATAAAAAAAGATTGAAAGAATTCTGTGAGTATATTTGTGTTATTTCTATGGTATTGTTACAAATTTTTTGTACAAACAATTGTATTGTTTTATATTTCTGACATGTCTGTGACATCACATTTTAGGGATATGTACGCTGTTGATTTTTTTTTTTAATCATTATTATGAAATTTTTGACATATATATGATTATGAAAACAATTTATCATTATGAAGGTATACACTAGAATTTACATTGTTGTTGTAATGTTACATAGTTTCATTTCGTTGGTTTAATTTATCTGATAACATTTACATAAAACAATGTAAACAAGTACACAACAGGACAAAAACACTTACAACCATCAGCCAAGAAAACAAATATTCATACAGTATATCTACTTATTTCAGCAACTTCAAACTTTGGGACAATATCAGTTTCGAACAAGTAAGTGCCGCAAGGAATTTACACATTTGCAATAATTGATCGATATTAATTACATAAAGTTGAAGTGCTATTATATTTTAGCACAAAATCTTTAGTGCAAAAAGTATCAAATGATATGCATTTACAGTAGATTCTCTGATACAGATTACATCACACTTTGGACAGGAAAGCATCCTGATTATGACAGTTAAAGTACAGCATCTTTGGTTAAATATATATGTATATGTGGTCTGTCTGTACCTCAAAGAAAATGGGGATAAAAAGTAGCAATAAATAGGAATGGAAATTAATACAGAAACTGAAACCAGTTTATTTAGGTATGGCAGATACAGAATAAAAAAGAGTTTGGCAACAATTTTTCATGTTGTAATTTTTTTAACAAATCATAAAATGGCCAACCATTGAAGGTGAGCAAATGGGAGTTGTTTTGAGTTTTGATATTGGAATAAAATCTTCTGTTCATGCAGGAGATTGTTTAGAAGAGTGAACAATGAGAGAGTCTTGGAAACTTAGTAACTTCAGCAGAAAACAGAGAGGGGAAAAAAATTTGTTTGTGTGTTTCAAAATCTACCTCATGATAATCTGTTGCTTGTATATTAAAGTAACTGGAGATTAGATCATAAGAATTTTATCTAGTAATGTTAGCTTGGAAAATAATTGCAATAGATAATAGTGTAAGAAGTAATATTTTTTCATTTCAAAATATTTTATTTAATCAAAAAGATTTAACGAGAATTAGGCAACAGGCAATGCCTATACAAGCCCTCTCCCTGTGAAGAAATATGCTAAAGAGGTTATTTTTTTAACAATAATGGAAGTTGATATATGTTGAAATATTGATTCCAGAAGAGATCATGTAGTCTTTCATTGCTGAAAATGTTTTAGGATTTTATATTCCAGGCCAATATTTCTCAAATTTACCATTCTTTGGAGATCCTCAAATGTAAAATCCCTGAAAGGTGTACCACACTTTACCTAAGTCAAAGCATTATTAAACATGTTTTGCAGATCATAAAGCCTCTTCTGGAGAGAAAAATAATCACACATTCAGAAAACTGTAATCATTTGATCTCCCACATAATGGGCTACATTTTCTTTAATATTGAAATTTTTTTTATTATTTATCATTATGACTTGTTGGAGGAAGGGGGTGCTTCATATTTGCAGTCTTACTGAATGCTGCAGTGGAACATGAAAATGTTATTTTTCATCTCACTTTAAATATTACATGTATGTATAAGACATAACATATATAATGCATATGCTTGTGCATTACATATACAACACATGCAATTGTACCACTGAAAATTTGTGCTTGTTGTACATCTTTCATATGACAAAGTCATCCTTCAATCACTTCTGTAATCATTCTAGTTATATTTGTACATTGTATAATTATCAAACTGTATATATATAATCTTTTTCCACAATATTACACACTTTGTAAGATGATTTATTAAGAATCAGAAGATTTATCAAATTTCTCATTTGTCTGTTTCTGATAGATTTTTGCATTGTCGTCAGTCTCTTGGTTAAATAATCACAGGGTGTATGACCTGTAAGGAATATTTACATTGTAGGATTTTATTGTCAAATTTAACTTCAAGGCCACCTATTAATAACACTGCAAGGTATATGAATTAATAAAGATATATCAAGCCTTCCTTCCAGACCACCTAGTAGTATTTAAAGCGGTATTTTCTTGTTACTGTATATAGCAAACTATCTTTTAAACTGGCCACCATTTTTTGGC